CCACAACAACCAACAACCAACAACCAACAACCAACAACCAACAACAACAACAAAAAGAAAACACGCAAACAACAGTAAAAACACCACCACCACCACCACCAACAACAACAACCACAACCACAACCACAACCACAACAACAACAACAACAACAGCAACAGCAACATCAACAGCAGCAACAACAACTACACCAACAACACCAACACCACCACCACCACCAACAACAACAACGACGACGACGACGACAACGACAACGACAACCACAACGACAACGACTACGACTACGACTACGACGACGACGACGACGACTACTACTATATGTTATGAAATAATAATATACAGTAATAATGAAAAACAAACTGATACGAATAACAATGTAATGCCCGCTAAAGCTTCTGAGGCTGCAAAGTTGCGCAGCAGGCTTGCTGGGCTGCGTAACCATTGCGCCAGTAGTCATCGAACTCGCCCCAAGCCTCAGCAAGGCTAAGGTTCTTGGGACACTCGTCGCCGATGCTTAGTGCCATGACGATGATGTTATTGCTAGTACGACAACTACGACTACTACGACGACGATCACTGCTACCGCTACTACTGGCTGCTTCTGCTGCTGCTGCTGCTGCTTCTGCTGCTGCTGCTGTTGCTGCTACCAACATGCCTACTGCAAGTACCACAGATACAGCGTCTGCTTCTGCCTCCCTACTCTGCGTCCTCGCTGCTGTGGCTGGAGCTACTGCGAACGATGACGCTGCTCCTCGCCTTGCTATTGTCACTACTTCCGGCGGTAACGACTGCCACCAGTCACGGCAGTGACGACGAGATTGCCACACTGGCCATGACGATCTTGATGAATCTTATGACTCAAAATGTGAGGAATGCTTTCCCCCTGTGTTACTCAATCTATAGCTGTTGTTAGCAGCATGACCCCATCTTGCTTCGCACGATCTGCCACCCTGAAGTAGCGCTAAATTCAACATGCCCTGCAAATCTTGCAGCATGTAGGACTCAACCACCCCAGCCGGTCTTTCTGAAACTCTCGAAGCTCGGTGCAGCACGATTGAGCCAGATGCAAGTTTCAACACACCGCAACCTTGAGCCCGGCGCCCTAGCTCCATCTCGAAGTAACGAACCTGAACCGGAAGAACCCTGCAAGCAGTGCTCTCAAGTTGCATCTGCCCAGTTTGGACCTTTCGTACCCGTGCTGGTACACCACCTCGGCTCTTGATGCGCAGGTGGCGCTCGTCGAGCCAATTCCGTAGACTCCAGACTCTTCTTCCAGCACGAAACAGTGACAATTTCATTGAATTCTCTGGACGCTGCGGAAGAGCCCAAGCCTGCGTCTTCGGATTTAGATGGCTTCAGGCCATACATACTCTTACAGATCGCCTCCATGGTGAAACATAACGCACACGTGACAAAACTGTTGCAAACTAAACCATGACAACAAACCCCCGAGGCTGCTTGAAGGATCTGTGCTGCCTTCAGCGGACTACACGATGATGAGGTTGTGTGTCTTACTTACTTCTCTTGGACTGGAACTACTTACTAACCACAAGGTTGAGCTCGTTTCATGATGCAGTTTCTACGAGCCGCTGCGTTTATTCAAGGCTTAGGCTACTTGCGGTATCTCGAGGCGGTGCCCCTATCTCGTTTCATCATATTAAGTACTGGCAGGAAAACTGGATCTCGTTCAAGTAGCGTTAGTAGCAGCTCTGATCATAAATGAGCCTGATCTCGTTTGAAGCGGCGCCCCTATCTCGTTCCCCTCTTAGAGCGAGTTCGGACCAAAAATAGCGCAAGGAGCTATCTCGTTTCAAAAGACCATAGTATTGACACAGATAAAAGCCGTCGCCTACTCATTCAATCTTAGCGGTCGGCCCGAAGCCAAGCCCTCCTTCGGTCAGATTCAGACAAGGCTCCCGCGCTGGACATATTCCTCACAACATGCACAGCTCACGTCTGAGGATGTCGACGACGATGATGATGATAGTGATGTTCAAAGGTGATGATGACAACGATCGTCGGAGTCGGGTTATTGTTGCATCCAGTCTTTCCCGAAACATCTCAGCGGAAAGTTGTTTTGCCCAAGGCTCGGCGCAAGAGTAGTCGCTCAAGTCTGCCCAGCCCTCCACATCCCTGCAGGTGGTCGGCCTGGGGGAAACTATGCAGCATCAATTCTCTTGCAATACTTCCAAGGCCCGATCAGGTCCAGGAGTGATGAGATGACACAATGAGCTATGAAGCACGGGGTTTTGCGGTTTCATCAAGGTTTGGCAAAACGCATGACCACTAGGCCGAATCCGTGAAGCCCGAACCCAAGAAAACTCCCACTGAGCCCCGGGCTCTGCGGGCGCCGAGGGCTCCGGCGAAGTTGAAGAGCTCGTGCTAGGCTCGGAGGTTGTGGCTGCCTCAGGGATGATCATTTGTATTTGTTGATGCTTTGTCGCTTCGTGTCTTTTGGAAGTTGTGGTGCTCTTGTTTGTTGTTGTAAGTGCTCCTGGAGGTGCGGCAGAAGCTTTTGCTCGCCGTGTCAATGATGATTGTCGTAATGGTCTATCTTCGACGTCGTGGTCGTAGTCTGCTACTGTACTGCTCCGGGCTTTTACTACGACTCAAAGCAATTTCAGTTAGTTTCAGTGATGCCATTGACTGCTTCTGCGTTGGCACTGGTTTTGGGCGGTTAGGAGTGTCGCGGTCTCTCTCTCTTTCTCTCTCTGTTTGCTGTTTTGTTTATTTTTGTGCTTTTTGAAGTTGCGTGATTGTTTGTTAGGTTTGTGTTGAGGCTGTTGTCATTGCCGCCTGGTGCTGCTAGCAGCAGAGGCTTATAGGATTCAACTTGCCCTCCGTAATCTTCGATGCCCAAAGCCAAGTCATGTACACTGCAGAGCCCTCAAAAAAGGGCCTGTTCTCGATACCGGTTTCCTGTAGAGAACGTGAAAGGCCAAGAGAGGCAACGGCCTCAGAAAGAATACTCAACCCAAGCGATGGACTAAACTCCCTGAACATCCCGACCCTGAATCATGAACCGCTTAACCCAGAACCAAATCTTCCGCCTCGGTCACTTCGGCTGCACCGGCAGTTGTGGTGCTGGTGAAGGCCTCGTCGCTGGCGCAGAGCTTCCAGCCAGTGCCATGGGTATCCTTCGGGCTTCTGCAGCTGTAGCTCTCATCATCCGAAGGCTTAATCCTTACCAGGCGCGGGGTTCTGGGCTTGAGCTTCAAGCTCTAGTGTCACGGAGCAAATGCATCCAAACAGGATTCAGGTTCGAATTGTGGGGGAGTGTGGACTCAGGGTTTAGGGCATGGCCAAAGGATGTCGATGCCCCATTGCGACGGTGGCAGTTTACCAGTTCATGTGAACAAGCAGCTACCGGGGTGTCAGTTGGGAGGCAAGCGCAAAGCCTCCGAGCATGGTAGCGGAGAGACCAAAGATGTTAAAAGTAGCCAACTATCGAAAGCCTGGCATGCAAGTAAACGATACACACACTGCACCCGAAGCCGAACCACCACAAGCCTCGTCCGCGCTCCACTGGATCGAGCCAGCTGGGACGACGCCGTGAGGATCGTTCCGTCCACTGTAGAAACTCAGATGCAGAGTTTGGCCGTGAGTTGTATTGTCGACGCATGGCAGTCATCCTCTCTTATTGTTGACACCACAAACCCCGCGGCTAAAGCGCTGTTCATGAAGCTCTGCTTCTGACGTCTCAGAACCCGAGCCCCACAACAGCATGCAACTCGAACCCCGAACCTCAGCTCGAGCTTCAGGGTTGAGATACCAACGGGGTGTCCTGAGGGCTCTTGGACAAGGGTTGCGGGTTCAACCAAAAGAGGCAGAGGGTTTGGAGAGGCAGAAGGGTTTCAAGCGTAGTGACAGTCTAGTACATTTCGTAATGATTTAGGCTGTGCGTACATCATCTACCTATGGAGGATGCGGACTAGCCTGGGGCCTTGGCAAGGAACTGCTATTCCTGGGCAGCTTCCTTGTTAACTGGCGCTTCTGATTGTTGTTCTTACTGTGCCTGGACAACGCCGGCTCCTGTGGTGACTAGGTAAGTACTGCTACTATGATTCCCTTGATGCACAATCGATACTGCTCGCAGCATCATTAGTTCACAGATGGAGCTGGGACTTGGGATTCGGGCTGGAATTTCGACATTGAATATCCGCAGCCTTGACCCTTTCCTTAAAGCCCCCGAATACCCCAAGCCCGAAACTGTTTCGGGTTTCGAGTCATGGACCCAAGGGTTCAATGTCCGTTGGGTCTGCTACCTGCAAAGCAGTGGTGCCAAATAAAACACGGGCTCTGGGGTTTGCGGTGCGCAGTGAGTCTAGCCGCTTTTGAGGCTGAAGCTCTGGCCCTGAGGCTGCGATGCGAGTGGCTTGCCGCTGATGTGAAGGTAGTCGAACCAGTACTCCTAAAATCTTAGGGCTTGAGGCTAGTTGCCGGCCTTTGGGCTTCCAGGTTTCGAGGAGGGAGACCCTAAACCGAAGACACACCGAGAAACGCAACCTCTCCGAGATGGGGGGGGGGGGGGGGGTCCTTTCAACGGCTACACGTCTCCTGTTTGGGCATCTTTCCAGAATCCGACTTAGCAACCAGAGGGCAAATGCTAGAATAGACGTGCGTTGCACTTACCCTCTGTCTGAGTACACTGGCTTCGCCAAACTAGGTCAAGATCAGTCTACTGCAGGCCGAGCTGCAAAAGATGTCCACACCCCAGCGAAGTCAGGGCAGCAGAACCAACCCGCTACATCTAGATGACCCCCATCAAAGCCCGCTGATACACCAAAAGTACCCAAAAGCACACTCTAGACAAACCCTGAGCAAGTGAAATTTAATCTCAAACCCTCAGGCCTAAACCGGTTCCCCGACGCTAGACACGTTCCTGCTGTAGCTGGCTTGGAGCTACAGTAGGTGTGGGGTTTTGTTGGTGACTCGAGGGGTTCAACCAGACTTTAGGATGCATTCTGCTGAGCATTCTCTTAACAAGTGTTGGCACAGCGTCCACATCCCAGTGGATCGTCTTCAGGGGCTTCGCCAGTGTGCTATTCACCAAGATGGTGCAATGCCTCAGTGGTTAATCAAAAACGAGGTTCGAGGGCCTAGTATGGTGACTCTGTGCCTACGGGAGCTCCATCCGAGGCATGACTGCTGAAGGGCTTGCCGGCCCTGTCACTATGATCCAAGCTCGGAGATCGGAGGGAGTTCTGGATTTGAGAGTCTGCTTTGGATACTTAAGCACTCATGTCCCGGAGTGATAGTTGTAGGTGGCAGCGTTTTACCAGTCCCGCCTGATTGTCGTAACGAGCAAGTCGATCTCACAGTCTGTATTGCCTCCCTTCACACTGCTGGCCAGCAGGCCAGGGCTGCGTGTTGAGGAAATTACAACTGCAAGTTCGGTATGATTCTGCTGAACCTAAAGCAGCTCAGCGTCTCGTTGTCCGAATAGTTGCCCGGATAGTTCGGGCTCAGAATGCAGTCCTCCTCGATGGTGCAGGGCCCTCGCATCACCTGCCAAAGGCCTCAGTTGCAGACTTCGAGAGCCATAACACGCATCAACAAACACTAGAGTCACTGGGGCCTCTAGGGTACGTCACTAGAGACTAAAGCTCCCTGCGCTTCAATTCAGCAGCGGCCGGGTTCTGAGCCGGTCTCAATGGCATGTTAAGCTTCCTAAAGAACCATCTCAATTTCTCGTCGGGGGGTTCAAGCTTCGTGAAAGCTGATCACCTATCCGTCGCATAGCCCATTGTCAGAGACTTGCCATTGTCAAAGATGCTAAGTACGAGCCAGCTCAGTATCTTACAAATAGCCTAGCGATGGATTACGGCTCTCGCCGGCAAGGCCTGATGAGTACGACAGAAGTCATGAAACTCTCCTGCAGGAGCCCCTAGATTCGAGCCCTAGAAACCCAACTGATCCGGGCCCTGCCACCATTGATGTGACTGACCTGCCCGCCACCGCAAGCGCAGCAAGCACTGATAGCTGTGTACCTGAAGTGCTTTGGTTTCCTGGGCGCTCAGTTGCCTACATAGTAGTTTGACCGTCACAATATTTAAAAACGGTGCTCTTCGAGTAATGTACGGTGCTGGGCTTTTAGAAGTTGCTGCTCCTGCCTTTGATGTGAGTCTTGCATGGTTGATGTGTTCAACAGACAAGCTTCCTGGGCTGAGGACAATGACGAATTCTGAAAACTAAAACTCTGAATTTTTGCTTAGCTTCTCGTGTGCAGAGGCCTGCAATAGCATCTAATGAAGAGTAACCTAGGCCTTGCACCGTCTGACAGGTATAACACCCGAAGAAACACACCCGCTAAGCATATCTCTGACGATTGGAAAGCCTGCCACGATAAAAGATCCGAAAACCTGAGCCTTCTGAGCCGCAAACCATCCATGGTCACAACAAGGAAACACCTCCTGAGGTCGGCACCCATCGTGCCAGTAGGTCTCCATCACCTCGATTTTTCAGTAACTACAGTTCTGGTTATCCATCACAATTAGGTCCATTCAACATGCTTTTCCAAGGATAAAAAGGTCCTCACCGGGTTACAAATGAAGATATCTCTGGGCACTTACAGCATGTCAACAACTGGAGGCCTGCGCGGCAACACGAACCCTGCCTAAATCCCAAAGTATTGACCAAAGCCTCTGAGAACCTCCTGAAGAGCCTTCAACATAGGCCATAGGTTTAGATCACATAAAACTGAGAAAGATCAGGCAAGACATCTTCTGCTGTGGGACCCCCGAGTTCATGGACGTAAGATTCAATAAGATCCTACCAAGCCTCAGGCACGCACTGGACAGGAACCTCACCCAACAACACAACTAATTGGATCACGAAGCCTATGCCTGAAGCCGCGGCGCGTTCCACCTCGCCTGCCAGCCAGTGCCCAGGTTGCCATCGGAAGTGCACCACCTACCAGACTGATACCTTGCAGCAGGCTCTCCGCTCATGGCTGCGAGGAGCTTGGGTCGAGTCCGGCTCCATGAACTTGCTTCTCACACGATAGTCTACGAATCGACGGCTGGACAGGTTCTTGCCGCTTGACTCGACCGGGCCATCTTGCAAGGAAGGCGAGCTGTCCCAGCAAGTCTGGTCCGTCGCACTGGGGCAAACCGTGAAACTCATCATCTGCAAAAGCTGAGCCCTGGAACAGATCTTACGACGGTTAAGCGTACCTTATGTTCTTCGGCTCTTCTTCCTGAAGCCTGACGATTTAAACGGATCTGCCGAAAGCCAAGAAGCTGTGAGCAGTTGTAGCCTTCTGAGTCCTGCAGCGAAACACGCTTCAAAGTCCAGCGCTCCAGGTTACAGATTTAAGTTGGGGTGCCAGAGCGATAACATGAAAACACTCTGCATGCTCAATCTGTCCGTTGAGTGTTTTGTGAAGTAGCTTTCGATGGTAAGAAGAATAGTGAAGGTAATTGTAATGCTTAGTAGCAATAGAGCTAGCAAAAGAAGTCGTCGTGGCAGCAGTAGCAGTGACAGCAGCAGTAGAACTAGTAGTAGTAGTAGTAGTAGTAGTAGTAGTAGTAGGTAGTAAGTAGTAAGTAGTAGTAGTAGTAGTAGTAGTAGTAGTAGTAGTAGTAATAATAATAATAGCAGTAGTAGTAGTAGTAGTAGTAGAAATAGAAATAGTAGTAGTAGTAGTAGTAGCAGT